TGGGGAGGAGTGATAAGGATGGAGGGGGTGGGGAGAAGTGATAAGGATGGAGGGGGAGAGGGGGGGCTAAGTCCTGTGGCACCCACCACACGACTCAGACACACAGACAGATAGACAGACGGGTGGATGGGCTCTTTTTCAATTGATAAGGGGGAGGGAGGGGGGGCCAAGTCCTGTGGCACCACCACACGACTCAGACACACAGACAGATAGACAGACGGGTGGGTGGGCTCTTTTTCGTCTCTCGCTCTCTCCTCATTTCCCTTTCTCTCTTTCTCTCTCTCTTTCTATGTGTGTGATTGTGTGGTATTTGTCTTCCTCTACGACACGCACGCGACACACACGGCCGGGGAGGGGGGACGGGACGGGCGGACTCTGCCTGCCATGACGTGTGTGTGTGTGTGACGTGTGTGTGTGTGTGTTCGGTGGTCTTTTTCGTCACGTCATGTGCGTGCATCTCGCTGGCTGGTCTCTCTTTCTCTCTCTCTGTATGTTTGTTATGCACACAGACACGTACTCTTTTTCGCCCCTTGCTCCTGCCTGTCTGTCTGTCTTTCTGTCTGTCTGAGTCACGGTCTGCCCACGAGGGAGAGGAGAGGGGTGCAGTCAGCGATTCATTCACGTGTGATGTGTGCCAAGCACAGCCAGTGAGGGAGGGGTGGGGCTGACTGACTGGCAGACCGGTGGATGTTTTTCAATGTGAATATGTACACTACCCATGGCTTGCAGCTGAGCTGTAATGATATTACACCCACACCCAAATAACGTCATGCCGCCCCATAAGCACACCCAGCGACACATTGATTTCACCCATTGGTGGAGAATGTCAGCACGTCAAGTATACACACCGTCACAGCCTCTCACGGGCTACCCGGGCGCTTCCTCTTGTTGCCTCTCCTCCCTCCTAAGCCACTCACCATCAACCACTGAATGAACCCCTTGGCCGGTCGGCTCCTCTCCACCGAATCTCACCCCCCTTCGTCTTATCAGCTCGGCCGTGCATGAATCAAGCATGTATCATATCATGAGCTCTTGTTGCCGGCCGCGTGCCGCGCCTTCTTGGTGTCGCTTGTCCGCACCGGCTTCACCACACCACTGCTCGACCCCGCCGCGGCCTTGTCTCTTGTCTTGTTGTCATCCCCACCACCCCCGCCCTTGGCTTCTGCAGGGAAAGGTGGCGGCTCCGCTTCTCCCCAGGTGATTTCCTCCCCCTTGGCCATCTTGATGAGCTCGTGAAGGTTCCTGGGCACCTTCTCCTCCTTGGTGCCCATCCGCTGGGCCAACCTGGGGCTCATCGGCACGCTGCCCGGCGCCACCTTGCTCTCCCTCCCGCCGGCCTCCAGCTTCTCCACTGGCTTGGGCAGCCTCGGCTGGCCCGGCCGCCCACCTTTGCCCTCTGTCAGCCGTGGCGCCCGTGGCTGGAGGGGCGGGAGGGTGCGGGTTTTGCCCAGTTCGGTGCCGGGGGGGAGCTCGCCTCTCCTGACTTTGTGTTCGAGCTCGGTTTGTCTGACGACTGGGAAGGATGAGGGGTAGTCTCTTGTGCCGTCGCCGAAGTAGAAGTACTTTTCGTGTCCGCCCTCGGGCATGAAGCCGAAGTAGATGTTGCGCTGGGAGAGGGGCGGGATGACCTTCATCCGGGGGACGTCTCCCACGGGGAAATCGGCCCTGTAGGTAATGGGTGTTAACAAACAGACAGGTGGACAGAAAGGGAAATCGAATCGGGTGAGGTGATGGAGGTGATGCAGGGAGGTGTGGGCTGGGCTCTCTCTCGGTGTCTCCCTCCATCTGCACTGCACTGCCCTGCACGTACCAGACGAAGTTGCCGGTGAGGAACTGGTCTTTGTCCATGTGCAGCACGTACTGAAGCTGCGACAGACAGCACCGACACACAGGCACATAGGTACACACGAGACGGACACCGGTGTGGTGTGTGTGGTTGATTCGTGTTGCCTTTTGGCTGGTGTCTGTCATGGCATGTCGAATGAGTACCTACCTGTCTGAGGACGTAAATCGTGAGCAGGTCGAGGGCCGGCGAGTCCTCACCTATCTCGCCGCTATACAGGTTCCTGACACACACACACACACACACACACACAGAGAAAGAGGAGGCATCATATCAATGCATTGACGGATGTGTGTGTGGTTACAAGCTCAGCAGCACACATAACATACATACCCCCAGAGGACCTCCCTGACCCGTGCCGGCAGCACGTCGGACTTCTCCATCGCCAAATCCAACGACACACAAAACTGACGACACGTGAGCACACAAACAGAACAGACACAGAGAGAAAAAGAGCGAGCGCTTATCTTATCATGGATGGCATCACATGCATGCAATGCAATGCGGGCGGCTGAGCTGAGGTGGCGTACCCCGTACATGTACTCCTGGATGTTCTTGAGCTCAGCCATCCACCGGTACTCGGGCACCTGATGACATGACATGACATGACATGAGATGAGACGAACCAAAGACACACGATTGGATTGGCAGTAGACAGACAGACAGACAGACAGAAGGTCCTTCATCGAATCGACGTCTGTCTGTGAGTAGACAGTCTGTGTGTGTTTGTTTGTTTACATCTCTGAGGAGCATCCAGTCCTGGACGACGTACCACAGCCCCCAAAACATCCACTCGTCTATCGCATGGCCCTCCCAACCCTACACACACACACACAGAGAGAGAGAGAGAAATGGACCTCACTATCAGCCATCTCTGTGTGTGTGTGTGTGTGTGTGTGTGTCGGGTATCTTTACGCATGTGATGCATCTGCAGTGGAGCATCCACACGTGCAGCATGAAGAAGTAGCACCGGATGTTGAAACCAGGACCGATGTCAAACACTGTTTGACCAATCAACACACACACACACACACACACACAACCAAAGAATGAATGCCATCCGCCTTCACCACTTCATTCACACATTGCAAATTGGTGCGCACCGTCACAGAGCTGGTGGTTCTCCAGCCTCTCATGGATGAGGGCCGCGAACCGCCACGCAACATGCTTCAGGAACTTGTGATGCCTGCAGACAGACACCCAACACGCACACACCCACACGAGAAGATCTCTCTGCCCTTCCCTCTCCCATCCATCCATCCATCCATCTGTCCATCCATGCATCCAGACGTACCCGCCCATGTGCCATGAGATCCTGCCAAGCAGTGTGCGGTCGTTGCGCGGCCTGGGTATGTAGTAGCGCTCCGACTCCTCCGGCCCGATGTAGGTCAGGGGGTCGCCGTACATCTTGGCGGACAGCGCACGGGCCTCACGCGCCTGCTGCTCGTTCCACTCACGGAGAAACTACAAATGTTGATTGCACCAGCCAACCGACCAATGAGTGAGGCAGTCGATGAATGCACACAGACACACACACACACTCATGCCTCGTATGTGCGTGTGTGTGCAGGGCGGGGCGGGGCGGGGTACCGATTCCTCTTCGGTTCGTGTGACTGCGGTTGATTGGATAGCGGCGAGAGCCTTGTCGACGATGTACCGCCTCTGCTGATGCACACATGCCCACGAGGGTGGCGCTGCCGGCGGCGTCAGCTTGGCTGACGCCCCTGCCAGACAGGTGTCCACACTCCTGCAGAGCAAACCTCCCACACACAGATCAGATCAGCAGTTATGAACGATGGTCCAATTCGACTCGTGTGAGCATCGCACACGTACCTGAGGAGCCGCACAGCTGATCTCATCTTTGCTTCTTTCCACGGTGACCGTCTGCGAGCTTAGAAGCATTTGCGAGCTGAAGAAGGGAGGGGAGAAGCAGGAGGTGCTTGGAGAGTACGCAAGGTGTACCTCAAGTGTTATTCTCTCGTTGGTCCGTTAATGCCCTTACTGCGGCGGTGTGAAGGAGATACCGACAGCTGCACTTTGATCATGGAGGCAGAGAGGGAGCACTATGGCTGCCTTTCCCCCAGGGCCCTCGACAGAGCCTGCGAGAAGTGGGAGGGCGGACATGTCGATGAGAACGACAGCTGCACCATCCAGTGGGTCTCACGGCTGCGGGAGGATGATGACAAGCCGGCGAGCGACGATTTGAGGCGGGGATACCAGGCACATCATCACAACCACGCGTCCATGTCGACCGAGTACTCGGGCTCTGGGTCTTCATCATCCTCGAACGGCGGCTCCACCGGCTCTCTGCTCGAGTGCCCGATTGCATCGCCGGCCCACCACGATAAGGACGAAGACGGCCAGGAGATTCGGCACAGTGGGACCAGCCAGCACGAGCAGAGTGACGGCTCCCCATGTGCAGCGTCGCCCGACCACTCCCCGGCCCCTGCAGAGATCGCCAGAGATGCGATGAATGGCAGCTCCCCCGTCTACCGCCGCTCGGTGTCAATGTGGGAGAGCCTGACCACCACCAGCCACTCACACGACTATGTCAGGGGCTCGGTCAGCGACGAGGAGGTCTCCCCGTCCAGACGGAGGCGGCGCGCCCCGCCGCACAAGCCTCTCGCCCCCACCGGCGACTGCGTTTCGCACGTGCCCTCCCCCTCCCCCATCAGCCCTGCCAACGCCAGCAAGGGCCTGCTGCTGCCGTGCACGACGGTGCTGCCCCCTGCAGATCCCTCGCCGGCCACTGATGGATACAGCGAGGAGGAGCTGGAGCGGTACTCGCGCGTCAAGTGTTCGGTGTGCGGACAGAGGGTGGAGCTGTCGGACATCGACAAGCACTCCCGCGTGTGTGTGGTGGAGCCGATATGGCCGCGGGACAGCAAGGGGCGGGGCGAAGAGGGAGAGAGGGGAGAGGGGGAGGGCGCTGGCGCACCGCAGAGGAGCAAAATCGATGGCCAGGACAAGGTGAGATCTCTAAGGAAAGGGATAGCTGACCGTCAAGCTGTTGTCCTTGTGCATGTTGGTTGGCTGCATTGCTGCAGTGGAGCATAGCGGTGGCTGGCATGACGTCCGAAGAGCGTCAGATCTATCTGTCGATGCGGCGCAAGGAGGAGCTGAAGAAGGCGCAGGACATGGAGCGGCGGTGCCAAGAGCTACGGCCGCTCTGGTGGATCGGAGGATGGTCAGCGCGCTGCACGAACCGATGGGTTTCTGACTTGCGCATGGTTCTCTGTGTGTGTGTGTATGTGTGCTTCCGTGCCTCAGTTTCGGGTTTGTGATCAGCGCCCGATGGCTGCGGCTGTGGCGAAGCTTCGTGGGCGTCGGCAAAATGGTATGCGGGCATCCATGGCCATGGACGGAAGAGCCAACGACTCGCATAATGTGTCTGTCAGATTGAGGATGTCCGTGACCGTCCCCCTGGACCGATATCGAACCTGGATGTATGTGAATACCAAGCCATACCAAACACACCTACCTATCATTCTCGCTCTGTGTGTGTGTGTGTGGCTTCCCGCAGCTGTTTGAGCTTGACGGCCAGTTGCGGACCAACCTCAAGGAGGGCATCAAAGACGGAGACTTCCACGGTAAGGCCGGCAGGAAACACACTGCCTTTGCGAGTACAAAGCTGGCCATATCATGTGTTTTGTTTGTGGATGCATGCTCATGCGCTTGTCACCGACGTCAGTGCTGCCACAGCCACTGTGGGAGTTCTACCTCATGCAGTACGGGGGCGGGCCCGCAATCATCAGATACAGCCCCTCAGGTAGGCTCAGGTACAAGGGGTGGCACGCTTGCCGTGCGAGATGGATGCTCTTACGAGTGGTGGTGTGTCTGTGTTCATCTCTGTTCATAGGCAATTTGCCCGGCTTGTATGACCACGAGGTCAGCTTCACGGGAGACTGGAAGGACTGGTATGCGACGGGCAAGGGGAGCGTCAGTGGCCGGCTTCATCGATTGTGTGTCCATCACTCTTGTGTGTTCACTGCCATCAGGCGTCCCAATTCCGGCTCTGGTCGTGTCTTCGACCCTGTGACGGGCCTCGGGTAACCAGGGCAGGAGAACGAATGCGAAGCGGCGAGGCTTCATCAGTCTCCGTCCGTCCCGCTGTGTGTTTGCGTCTTGAAATGGATCAGATTCGATGGGTCGATCCGGGACGGTTTCATGTGGACGGCAGGCGGCCGGGGCATGCTGCCGGAAGGGTCATTCTATGAAGGTGGGTGCAGTGCATGGTCACAACGTCCGTCCAGATGGTGCAACACCACTGCAAAAAGATTGACATCCTGGCTGCGTACCCACACAGGCACGGTGCGTCGCGGCGTGCCAGAGGGTCGAGGTGTGCTGTGCAAGCCGGACGGCACCACAATGGAGGGAAGTTTTGTCAAAGGTCGGCTGCATGGCCAAGGCCGCGTGAGATACCCAAGAGGCCGCGTCATCGAAGGTACTCACTCAACATACGATACATGCATGCATCACGCAGAGGCAAACGAGAGTCCCACCTGTGTCTGTGCACCATGGCAGGAGAGTGGGAGTATGGTGAGTTGTGCGGCATTTGATCAACGCAAGGGAAGGGAAGGTCGGAGGACAGATAGGATAGATCTTGGTGCCGTGAGCGAGCGCCTTGTCCGAAGGGGACAAGGGCCCTCTGTGTACACTGGTAGCTGGTTGGACAAGGGCTCAGCGCTCGATGTCGGTGTTTTATTATACACACACGCAATTGGTCGATTGATTCGTTGCTGCTGTAGGCGGCGAGGGATGGATGGGGCGCCCAAGAACCAGGCGGGCTAATTTGGCGTGAGGGTGTGTGTCCGTGATGTGCATATGTAATGAATGCATATGGCCATGTAGGTATGCGTGCATCGCAGTACTGACGTACCCACCGCTGTCTATTGTGTGTATCGCAAGCAAGACGGACACGTAGATCTATCGACTGTCGACCCCTTGTTTGTGAATGGCATGTTCACTGGCCGGCGCCCGGAATCGGTGGGGGCTGAGACGCGGTCTGCAGGTATCTAAACCGATGCATGCCGCCTTTTGCAGGACCGTTGGGCGAGTTGTTATGCGGTGAAAGAGCTGTCCTGCAGATGAGGCTTGCGTGGCTGACATCCTCTCTCGTTATTACCGTTGGTGAGTTCATCTTGTCTCACGGCCAGCTGGGGTGGAACACCATTGGCGGCAGGACCTACTCATCGCTCAAGGAGGCAAACGGCACGGCGCCCGTCATCTACGAGTTCACGACGTCGTCCAGCCAGCTGTACTCTCTCCCCCACCCCGACGTCGAGGTGCTCGCTGGCGTCCCCGGCCTGCCCGAATATCTGACCGTCTTCATCGAGCTTGTCAACGCCATATTCCCAAGCCGATATCAGTGTGAGGGGCTCTTGGCGGCGTCCAGCAGCAGCGCAGAATTCGGTTTCCCCACTCCTGCGGTGTGCGACTTCACCGAGACAGAGGTCACTCTATATCTGGAGGCGCCGCTGGCTACAGTCACCACCTACACGCTGACCATCCTGACATCGCTGGGCACTGCCGGATCTCAGCCGCATGCAGAGCTGTCCATTCTCTATGGCGGGCAGGTGCCCATCGATGCCACCGCCGATCTGTCCCTGCTGCCGAGTGGCGGCGGCATTACTGTCATTCAGCCGTCTCCCGCATCGGCCAGGGTGCTCTCCATGCAAATTGTCCGCGACGCAGACCTCACGACCACCCCTGGGGCGAGCAACAAGCTCAACATCACCATACAGGTCTACGGGCGGTTCACACAGGATGACACTATCGACGTTATCGCCTTCCCTCCCGATATCTGGGACTTCGGTGAGGCCGAGGAAGAGCCCCTCACACCTCCATCTACCCCAAAATGCCAGATCCTCGACGCCAACCAGGCCCCTTTAGCCGGGGTCAGCCGGGCGCTTGTGCAGACAGTGGGGCTGCCAGTGCCGTGCACGACATGCGCCAACACTTTTCGCGTCAAGTTCGGCAGCACAGGCTGGGGCTCAGTTGGCGCCGCGACGACCGGCACCATCCTGTTGGAAGGCTTCCAGAATCCCACAGAAGCCGTCAATGCGAAATGGATCATCACATCGGAGAACAAGGCGGGGGGACTCTATACGATCTCTTTCGTCGAGCCATTGATGGTGCAGGGAACGCCGCCAGGCGGTCCACGTGGTGGTTTGACCGACTGGCTGGCTGAGAGGACCTCGTTGACGCAGCAAGTGACCTTCGCACTGCGCCCTGGCCAGACTGCCTACCCACGCAGGGAGGGCACGACAACGATCGACATCATTCCCCCCGCGGCCTACAAGATTGCCCCCGACAGGATGCCTGAGAATGTGGAGGGGCAACCCGCTCTCTCTGGCAGCTGGACGCTCTACACAGAGTCGTCATCGCCGGTCGGCAACAAAGTCTCGCTGCAGGTAGAAAAGCCACACATTCATGCACACGTGGCTTGCTGCACGGGCTGAGGTGTTTATCTTTCTCAGGTGTTCGATGCCACTTTTTTCAAAGACACCGTCTACTATGTCCGTTTCTGGGTCACCACTCCGTCGGTGCCCACGTCTGCTGTTGCGTGGAGTGTGGCCATCACCGACTCGACCGATGCAGCGCGGCCGACCCAAATATCATCTGCCACAAGTGAGACACGTACATGATCGACAAAAAGAGCGACACAGCCGTTCCGGTCCCTGCTTTAGTCACATTCGTTGCGTTGCAGACCTGCGCGGCTTTGCTGTGTACGGAGCCCTGAGCTCTGTGATATTCTCTCCCGCCTCGTTTCTTGCCGGCGACCAGACGCAGCTGACGGTGCAATTCATGGCCACAGAGACGGTCAGCGTACTTGACCGATCCCGCGTGATGGTGCGTGCGCCGCCGTCATGGAGTTTTCCCCGAAGGTGTCCCGGCTTTGACAGAGTCACACTGCCCGAGTGCGAGTGTGTGGCGGAGAACGATCGCTATCTGCTGCTTGTATTTCACCAGTCGAATGCGCTGCAGGTGGGTGTGCTGTACAGATTCAAGATCGACGTGATGAACCCGATGGACAACGGCGGATACGAGAGCAAGCACAACATTTGGATGGTAGGCCACCTGCTCGCCTTTTGCGAGCGAGAAGCACTTCATTAAACTCCCTCTGGTGTGACTCCAGATATCGACGCAGCGGCCTGACGGGATTGTTCGGCAGACGAACGTGTATGACGGCTACAATGTATGGCCGTCACGATTCAAGAGCTTCGAAGTTGTTCCCGACAGCCGGGCCGAAGGCACCATCAGCGTGAGCACAAACATTATTGAAATTCATGTCTCATCACTATTTGCTCTCATCGGTCCACTCTTGTGTTGTCTCGATCAGATGACAATTCGCTTCAGTGTGGGGACTGAATTAAGAGCGAGCGATTCCATTGAGATATGGGCTCCGTTCGGCTTTGATTGGAAGCCCAACGAGTACTTTGAGTCATCCGACAGTGTCGGAATGTCAGCGCAGCCATTCACCGTCCTGAGTGTGCCTGTCGTGGACCCATTTGCTGGTTGGAAGGTCGCATTCAGGCCAGCAGAGAATCTGGAGGTAAGACGGACACACAGAGAGGATGTGGACCACTCTGAGGCATCGGTCATGCAATGTGCACAGGTCAACCGCCTTTATGGCTTCCGCACAAACATCCAGATACCTGCCGAGACACCGTTTCCCAACGTGTGGAGGATCCTCTCGACTCGCAGCAATGGCGTCGACAAGCTCGACGAGCTTGGCATTGAGGGCTTTCGGATTCAGCGGCTGGAAGACGTGCAGGTCATCCCCAGCATCATTGAGGAGCAAAGCTTCTCCAATATCGTCGAGATACGGCTGAGGACAACGCAACAAGTGACCTCAGTCATCGCCAACACAGGCGAGCTGCTCCAGCAGGCCATCATCAATGTTGTGGTACACACATACCATGGAAAGAGTCTTGCTCGCACACGTACGTCTCACATCAATCTGGCTGTCTGCTGTCTTGTCCCTAGGCACCAGAAGGTTTCACGTTTGTCTGTCCTGTCCTCAACACCTACTTCGCAAACGTCGAGGGTGCCAGCCCTCTGTCAGAGCCGTATCTATGCGAGGACGTCCGAGTCCACGGCGGCGATCCAAGGCGCCTAATGATAAAGTTCTTCGCCCAGGCTGGCAGCACAGCGAACTCCGTCCTGCCTTCCATCGACAAGGACCGCCTTTATGTGTTTGCTGTGGGCGTCATCAACGCGCAGGTGCATCAGCTTGATAGGGAATCCTTCGACTGGTAAGGTGACGCAGAGGAGACGCCTCGGTAAGAAACAGGTACATATTATTCGTGTCTCGCTAGGTACATTGAGACCGGGCTCCGTGAGGAGCTTCAATACACATCGTCCAAGCTCATTTTGATCAACAGTGTGGAGAGCGGCGTCGCTGATGGCTTCTACGTCATCAAGAAGTTCCCTGTGGCCCAGTATGCCAGCTATCCGCAGTACGAAGACCGCAGAGTCAGCACCCAAGCCAACCGTGTCTCATTCCAGATCCAGATCACCCGCAACTTCACTGTAAGTAAAATGCACTCGATGATAGCCTTTGTAATGCCTTCACCTTGTTGTTGTGTCGGTTCAGATAGGTTCTACACTTGCCATCACGGCACCTCAAGGTTTTCACTTTGAGCGGGAATGCAAGGATGGAGGAGGCGCTTTTACAGCAGGAGGGCCCTCTTGGGTGTCACGTGATAACCGCTTCCCGGCTCTCAGCTCGTGTGCCGGCTACTTCAACAAGGTCACACTGACGATTGGCGAGCAGTGGACAGCGAGAAGTGACCTCACCCACGTCGTCTACGTCACCGTGGCCAACCCCTCGTTCATGCCATCGCCAAATGACTGGAGCTTCATCGCCAACGACGAGACGGGAAAACCGCAAGAGGGCAACACCAAGGTGCCCGGCTTCCTCATACAGGTCGTGCAGGACGTGACTCTGAGCCCATACAACCCCAGCGTATCGAGGGACGCCCAAGTGTCAGCGAATCCAGTCGACATCTGCTTGACAACCACTTCTGAGCTGCCTCCTCAGGGGTCGATCATTGTCATCGCGCCACAGTCCTTCAGGTTCGCTACGACATGCGCGCACTTCGACTCGTGTATCGGCGCTGCTGAAGAGTGCCTGCCGGAAGGCAGCAATTGCTCCGGCGATGGCGACAACAGAGTTGATATCACGATCGACCAGGGGTTAACACCGGGGAAGTACTGTCTGCGTCTCGTCGTGGAGAACCCCTCGTCCATGGTTGCCGACGACCAAGACAATCTGTGGTCAATTGAAAGCACAGACGACAGAGGCAACATCATCGATTCAAACATGGAGGTAAGAGAGAGGGAAGTAAGTGGGGGACGCACTCGTGTATGTCTCTTCTGTGTCTCGCGTGAAGGTGCCCGGGTTTTCTTTGGTCCCTCGCTTGGATTATTTTTCGCTGACGCCCGTTTCCCTCATCGGCTTGGCACTGAAGCCCATCCGCCTAACCTTCGCCCTCTCCGCCAATCTCTATAATCTCAACTCCATCAGTATCGCCGCTCCCGAAGGATTCGTGTGGGAGTCTGTCGTCCCGGCCGAATGCCCAGGGTTCGACCGTGATGGGCCGACATACTCTGCCGAATGGCTGCTCGAGACGAGCGACATGCTTCAGGACGACGAAGTGCTGCCCTTGCCACGGAAAGTAACGTGCGAGGTCGTGTCATCGAGGGAGCTGCTGCTCGTCTATCGGGATGCGGAAGCGCCCATGCCCGCGGGAGTCAAGTTTCAGTTTGTCGTGATGGCGCGAAATGCCCAGGTGACACCTCAGCTCAATTGGTGGCGGATAGAGGCCCAGACGCTCGCTGGTCAAGAGATCTCTGCCAAGATGGGGTTCGAGATCATACCAGAGGTGAGCAAGACAGCGAGACACACCAAGAAAGGGGCAACGAAGGCATTGACTTGACTGGCTGTCTGCAACAGCTGGATGACACGCTCGTCTACTCGTCCAATCCAGGTGTGTACAAGCATGCTTATTCGGCATGATTTGAACTCAGTCATTACTCTTTCTGGCTGGGTTTGCTCCAGGTGCCGGTCTATTCACCCAATTCGTGTTCAGTTTTCGCTCCGTCCGTTCCATCCCTCCTGGAGGCCTCCTCACCTACCAGGCATTTGTGAGCGACTTCTACTTCGGCCCGCGACTCGAGCCGACGGATGAGCTCGACCAAGAAACCGGTGCTAAGTGAGAGAGACATGCTCTTATGCTTGTCACATGATGGCTGTATATAGATCCACTGTCCGTCATCCCGCCCCGTGCTGGCTACCCCAGGCCGAGGCCACCCCAAGATGAACCAATTAACTGCACATTGCTGGACATTCATGCGTCAGGAGTGCTCAACGGAACGGAGAGCGGAGCAGCAGAGAGCAGCCTCTTCAGTGCGATATTGGCTTCGCAGTACAAGCTACACGAAGAGTACGCCACGTGCACGTCCTATGGCGGCCTGTTGGAGATCACGTTGAAGGAGACGGAGGCTGCGGAGATCCCTGCTGGCGCGGTGGTCGCTGCTTCGGTGACGGGCTACAATTCGGATGGCTACTTCGCTATCGTACCATTGCCTCTTTTTCCAGTTCCAGCTACGACGAGTGAGCACTGAAGATGGAAGGCTTGGTTCGCTGGTCGCTTTCGTATGCATATTATCTGCATGTGTAGACCTGGTGTGGCATTTCAAGACACGAAGCAGCGACAACGCCCGTACCATCATTCATCAGAAGGATGTGGAGACCTTCAAGATGCAGGGGGTGCTCTACGTCGACAGAATAGAGCCGGAAAGCGCTGAGGTCTTCGTGCGAGAGAATCCCGTGTCAGTCACCTTTCGACTAGACACAGAGCTGCGGCCGCCGGCATCTATCGTCATTACGTGTCCGATGGAACTCATCGACAATCTGCCCAACCCCAACTTCCAGCCCTTCTTCGGCTCAAACTTTCCCCCCAACACCATCTTCCTGCGGTCCCTCAACGTCTTCCGGATCACCACCGATGCTGGCGGGCCTGTTATCCCAAGCCAAGTTAACCTGACCTTTGCAGTTGTCGTTGCGAATCCGAGGACATCGCCCAGCCCGTCGCAGAACATCTGGACCTTCCAGACAAAACACAATGAGACCAACGTGGGCTGCAATTATGATGTGCAGGGGTACAAGATCTTCGGCCGCTTCGGTGCTGCCGGAGTGATAGCATCCTTCTTCAGCCCAAGCGTTGACAACATTCTGGGCGTATACTTCAGCCTTGGCTCTGACTTGCCCTTCAACCACCTCACCGCGGGAAGCAACACAGGCAGCTACCTGATGATATACCCACCCCTCCTCTCAGGCTTCGTTCCGCTGGAGCTCTGTGGGGGAGAAGTATTTCAACTGAGCTATGTGGAAGCCATGAAACCGCCCGAGGATGGCGGGAGCAATAGAGTGGCTGACGAGCTGCCCTTGGACATCTCCAATTATCAACCTCTGCCATCAGGGACGACTTGTGAGGTGCGAAGTGTCGATTATGATGACACTCCGCATTATTACTTTGCCATCCGTCTTGATGGTGGTCTCGAGTATAAAGTGAATTATGCCTTCCAAGTGGGCCTCAGGAACGCAGACGCGGACCCAGACGCAGCCTGCGAGGCCCAGGGCTGCTCCTGGCGCTTTATCACTGTCGAAAACGACGTGGTGCTGCATCTGGATACAGAAGTGCAGGGATTCAACCTAAAGGTCAGTCAATGCATTAGTCAGTCGCATGATCGCACACGAGACAGGCCAGTCATTCATTCTCTTGTCGCGTGTTCTGTCGCCTACGTAGATGATCGAGTACGTACACATCGACCCCCTGGACACCACCTCTGCCTCAGCAACCAACGTAGTTCTCTCAATGCGATCGATCAAGTTCATCCCTGGCGGCTCTAAGATCCTCGTCAAAGGCCCCGTTGGATTCACCTTCGGCTGTGGAGGCTTCTCGGTGGTGGGGCTGGCTCCCACGACGACGTGTGTGACTGACCCGTCTACAAAGAACCACATCGTTTTCACGATCGACACCCAGGACCCCAAGGAGCCGAACACAGCGATCTCGATCACATTCAAAGTGACCAACCCCCGCTTCACCCCCATTCCCAACGACTGGAGTTTGTATCTGGAGAGCCCGCTAGGATATATCATCGATCTGACAACCTATTACCCTGGCTTCGACATCACAGGCCTCCTGCCGGCCAAGGTCACTCCCACGCTGCCGTACAGGGGCCAGAGGCAGCGCATTGACGTTTCATTTCAAACATCCACGATCCTCAATAAGGTGCTGACGAAAGAGAGAGCCTTGCCTTTTATCCGTTGACCAAGCTACCTTGCGCCGTGTTTCTCGGCAGGCCGATGCATTCAACGAGATTCTCTTGCGCGCGCCGACCGGCTATGAGTTCTCTGACGGGATTTGCCCCGATTTCGAGCTGAGGATCGCATCTGATGCGGAGACTTACCAAAGTAAAGTACACACGGGAAAGAAGATCCTCAGGAACAGGATGAATTCTGTCTTGCTTCAGTTGAGAATATGACGAGCACCCCTGCCCCTTCTCTCACTCAGATGTTGCTGGGCAACTCCAGCACTGGCGTCAGTACGACCGCGGCGGCTGACAAGATGACTACCACCACCACAACCACCTCCACCACGACTACGACACCAGCGCCGACCACCACCACCACAAGCACCACAGCTGTTCCTACGTTAATTCCACTAAGCCTAAATGGCACCAATGGGACGGAGGCAAACGACACTCTACGGGGGGCTGCACAAGTCAACACGAGCACTGCAGCGCCGCAGCCTTTGGCCGATGTGCCAGGGATTATTTCTCTCAACCAGAGCGAGGCGGAGCTTCTGGAGATCGCTGACCAGTTCGATAGGGGCTATGGGCTGGAAGGCGGAGCTGGGGGCTCTGCCAATGTGTCAATCGCCGACCACCTCGTGCTGCCTTCCATCTTTCCGCCCCCTGGCACGCTCTGCACGAGAGACGGCAAGAACAGCTTGGTCATCAGGCTCCCAAATGGTATGTAAGTCGCACGACACAGGAGACACACGAGCTTTCTTTCTTCCTTTGCTGTCTTCTGCAGGCTCCGGGCTTCTTCCCGATTCATACGTTCTGTCTGTTGATGTCTTCAACCCTGAAAGTGAGCCAGAGGAGCCGCGGCCTTCGGATGGCTCGAGCAGCCCAACGATCTTACCAACAGCAGAAGAGACGCCAGACAACAATTCGACTGACGGTGCGTCGGCTCTTGCCGATCCTGGAGGACCGGGGAGCGGCTCTGGTACCGACGGAAGCCAAATAGTTGACAGTGAGGCCGGTGGCGGGATCCAGTATGAGTGGATGCTGTATACTCTTATCAACGACGAGGCTGCGGGGCTTGTGACGTTTGTGGACGCCAACAGGACTGTAGAAAGCTTTGATGTGGAGGACTCGGATCTTTCGATGTTCGTTGAGGGCTCAACGACAGCTCGGCGCAACACGAATCTGTGGCCCTCAATCGTGGCGCCTTTGTTGTTGTCTCTCGCCCGCTTGGCTGTGTAGATTGAGTTCAGCTGAGGTATAATATCATTTGTCTGACTCAGGATGAGATGCTGCTGCCTGGGTGGAGTGTCATCTGCTAATAGGCCCTTTGCAGCTGTGTTGTGTTGATCCATATCCACGCACATCGCCGTCTCACGTAAAGACACACAACAGGCCAACCATTTCGTATGTCCCTGTCGTGCGTGTGCGTGCGCCGGTATGTGTGTGATTGTGTTGAGGGAGACGCTGGACGCCTTCGTTCGTTCAATGATGGAATGCGAGTGAGGTGCTCTTTTTGAATCGAAAATGTCTTTCCACAGTTGGCGCCATCGATTTATCCACCGCACACAAACATCAAGAGCTTTGGACAAGAAGGTGCAACGATGTATCAGGTATGTGTCGGTCTAGAAAGAATCTCAGGCAGAAACATGTAGGGGGAAGGGCGGCAGGTAACACGTACGTACACGAATGTCCGCTCAGTTAATTGAATACTGATCTGACACGTGTGCAATTGCACAACTTGACCAAAAATCGCCTCCATCAGCCCCTCCACCGACTCCCCTCTCCATCCCTCCCTCCCTCCCTGGCGGAGTCTCTCTCTAGAACCCTCCGCGACCGCCATGTATGGCGGCATCGAAGAGCCCTTTGCCTCCAGAAGTGAATTCATGGGGGAGCAGATACACATACTCCGTCGTTATATTCACGATCCAATCGAAATGCAGCTGACAAACAAACGCAAACAGCAACCAACAAGAGGTGTGCTGTGGTGCGTTGGCCACTTACCTTGCTGAGTCCGATGAAGAGTATGAGTATGCACACGAGGGTCATGCTCTTGCTGTGCCACGGGTGCCGCTCCCACCGCTTGAAGACGCAGTCCTCATGCAGCCACGGACGCAGGGCGCCCCACCCGTCCAGCGGCGGCAGAGGGATCAGATTGAACCACATCGCCATCGCCTGAGGGACACACACCAGACACACACACATACACAGACACATATATCCACGACTATCGGAGTCCATGGGCCGCTCGTCTTATTGATGCTTTCATCCATACCTGGAACCACGCTATGAGTGCCTGCAGTGCACAACACAACAACCAACACAGCGAAAGAGCCAACATGCACGGCACCAAGCGTACGTGTTTTCTGCCTGAATGTGCTCAGCTGACCAGAGTGCTGAGCACCATTCGGCCTCCCAGGGGGACGGGCAGCACCCAATGGAGCAGATGGAACACCAGGGCTGTGACCGCCCCATAGATGAAGTTGGCCATCGGGCCCGCCAGGCTCACAAACGTCTCCCACGACTTGGACCGAAGAGAGCTCGGCTGCCATAACCACACACACACACAGAGAGAGAAGGAAGGGAAGGATGGGCACGTGACGGACTGATTTTGTCTGCATCTGTGTGTGTGTGTGTGTGTGTGTGTGCGTGTGTGTGTCTGTGTGCATGTGGCATGTGCTCCGAGCGCACCTGAATGTAAACGGCCCCTCCGGGTAATGCCATGCCGCCGATCGCCAGAATGATGGTGGGGATCAGTATGCTCATCAGCGGGTCCACATACTTGGTCAGGTCAAGCGTCAAATACCCCTGACAAACCACACACGCATCACACACAGGCAACACAAGGCACATGTTCGTCCATGTGCCTTTGCCCCATGTGTGTGGTGTGTGGTGTGTGGTGTGTGGTGTGTGTGTGAGTGACCTTTTCTTCTACGCTCAAGTCGCCTCCTCTGTACGCCGTGTATGCGTGGCCGAACTCGTGGCACGCCAGCGACATCAGCCACGCGCACAGCACACACAGGAAACACAGAATCTGGGGGGGTGCACCAACCATCCACGCACACACACACATACACACATGAATGGCCTTCATATCTTCCTACTGGGTGTTGGACGAAGTATAACATGACGAGGAAGCCGAGAAACGCCGCTGTGAGCAGCAGAAAGACCGGCGCAATCTTCCATCTTCTCGGGTCGAGCCTCTGGAACAGGGCGCTCCTCGCCTGTCCTCCGCTGAGCCCACTCTCCTCGTCGTCGAACCGTCCGTAGGCAGTGCGCGAACCGCCGCTGCGAACCACGCTGACCAGCGAACCAGCATGAAGAATTATGTGGTGCCTGCAGTGGGGTGAGATCTTTTGTGCGTCGAGCTCACTTGCCCGCAGCGTCGATTCTTGTGCCCATCTCAACGTCGCCTGAGTCCGCCAGCTTGGCAAATGTGTCGTGGTGCGCTTCTACTCTTCACGTTGGTATATACGTTTCACGATCACCCTCCCCCTTTTTTCCCCCTTCACGCTCCCTTCGTCAGGCAGTGACAACGTCCTGGATAGCATGCTCTCGTGCATGGCTGCCAACGCGTTGCCATGGCCTGACGTAGCGAGCCGAGGAGGACGGTACCAGGAAAACATGACTCGTGAAAACGCAGCAGCAGCAACCATGGATCTATCTGAGCTACACACAGGGCCCGGCCCACCGTGTTCCCAGCCCCATCCCCAGCACCCTCAGCCAAAACGGCACACCAGGTCCACCCAGCCCACCCCACCGCTCCTCCTCCGCGTCTTCCTCTCCTAAACGTCCGCGTCGTCGAAATCGTCGCCGAAGTCTGACCACACACACACACACACGAAGAAAGAGTGTGGAACAGCACGGACCATTACGTATAAAGAAAGGCACCCAGATGCGGGGGGGCTTTGCTCGCATCTCTCGCCCTCTATGCCTGTCTGTCTGTCTGTGTGTGTGTACCTTTGTAGTAGTCCTGGTGGACCGTCTTGGTCTCGTCCTGGATGGACTCGAAGTCGCCACCCGAAAACTCCGGCCCCTCCATCGGGTTGCCCAAGTCACCTGCACACGCACCACACCACACACAACAAACTTACACTCACACGTGGGGACACACAGCCTGGCCTGTGTCTGCTGCGTCGACCGCCCCCCACCCCCCCACCTACCTAGTCCTGGTATGTCGCTGTCCTGCATGTTTGCCGTGCCGAAATCGTCGGGGTGGTAGCGGGAGGACGATGCGGGTGCGCCGGCGCCGCCGCGGGGGTCACGGCCTTCACGACGACCAACTGATGGGATGAATGGATAGATCCGTCAGTCAGCAAACACACACGCACGCACCAAGACAAGACAGACACCGTGACGTGCATCCATGTGTTTCCCACCTCGCGCCAGCTGGCCGCCCGAGGCCTTGGCCGCCCCCTGCTGCCCTCGCAGTGTCCGCATCCTGAACACCACAGCCCACCACACACATACCATACCATAGAGGATTCCTTCCTTCGTCCGTGCTGCCGTGCCGTGCCGTGTCGTGCTCTCTTGGCAGCGCACCAGATGCTCCGCCTTTTCTCGCGATCGACGCGGCGCCGCTTGGAGGGATCCTCCTCAACAGCCGGCTCCAGAATGCTCACGAGGACGGCTCACCACGCACACGCCAATCAACAATCGGATCAATAAGGATGGCTAACGAGGGGTTTGGTGCGATCTGTGAGCTGAGCTTGCACAAGGCGGCGAAGGAGGCGGTCAGTCGTTCGTTTGCCGAGTCGCAGTGAATCAGCCGTTCGTTACTTTGGCTCATCCATCAATGTTGCCGGGTTCCTTCAGTTTGTCATACGGCCACGAGCCTCCCTCGCCGCCATCCATCACCCTGCCGCTGGTGATACCCCAGCTACACCGGACCGCCCCCCTCACACTGGATGTCCCCAGTGAAGGGCAAACCAGGGTCGATGACGTCATGCGGAAAGCGATGCTCGCTGTGCCCGCACTGCAGAGCTTCACCGAGGGGGATACTGAGGTTAGGGAGGGGAGGTGTGTTCGGAGGCAGGGAGGGCTGAGGGGTGGTCAACTGCTGCTTTTTGTGTTAATTGTGTGGATGTCATGCCAATGCATGTATTTGTGTGTGATTCCATGCATTCAGCTGTTGGGGCTCGAGACCACTCTGTCTGCTCCGGTGCACTTGGACGACAGCACGGTAGGCAGCCAGACAGACAGACGGACAGATAGATAAAGGATAGCTGAGGGCTTTGACTGACTGCACGATAGAATGTGAATTCCTGACCTGCAGGTGGGGCCCTTCCTGCTGTCGGTGAAGCGTCAGAGCTCAGCGGGGCAGCACGAGGGGGCGCATCTGCTGATGAGGGTGCCCAGCCAAGAGGCCAGGGAATACCACAGGCAGGTACAGACAGGATGCGGGCAGGAAAGTACGTGGAGAGAGACAGAGGGAGAGAGATGGCCACTGACTGTCCTGTGTGTGCAGCGTGTGTTGGAGCATGAGCAGCGGGGCCAGTTCGTGGAGCAGGCCGTGTCGACCGTCGACAGCCTCAGGCATGCCCTCGCTGACGAAACCAGGAAGACCGCAGGTGTGTTCTCAAGAACAGAACCCCCACTGGCAACAGACAGGCTCAGACAAACAGGCACGCAGCCAGCCGTGTTTGTTGATTTGATGTGCCTGCAGATCTGCAGGAGCTGATCGCCCTCAAGAACGAGGAGCTCCGGCAGCTGAAGGAGATCCTGAAGCACCACCTCACCCGATCGCTGCCCCCAGACATGTCCACGCCCCCGTCCCTCCCATCCGCAACACAGGGTGGCACAGGCTTCCCCCCCCTTGAAGCCTGCCTGTCGTCCAGCGAGGAAGAGGTGGCCGCCAGCAGGGTCAGCAGGCACATCGACAGGTCTCGCTCGGCTGACCCAGACATGGATGCCTCCCTGTTGGAGAGGACGGCCTTCGCGGCCGCGTCGCTCGCCACATCTGGGTCGCCCCGCAAGAGTGGCGGCGGTGGGGGGGTCAGGGAGGCGCTGGTGAGGAGGCTCGAGGTGGAGTGGGAGCACAATGTGGCAGATCGCTGCCTCGTCTACCCGTAAGCACCGCAGCCACACAATATGAAATGAATACCACAGAGCCAGGCCAGGTTCTTATGTCTTTGTCGTGTGACCCCTTTCCTTTCTGTCAGGCTCTACCACTCGATGCTGCACCGGCTGCTGGCACGTATGCCGTCCACCACTGAGACCCTGTCAGCCGTCGCCCACAAATGCGACCAGATCCACGAGACCTCCCAGCACACACACAGAGGCCACAGCCGCCCTCTGGCCGACCAGGTCCATGACCTGCTCGCCTTCATGAGCCGAGCGGGCACCCAGAGGCACGCCCGAGACAACGGCAATGGCGGGTACTGTGCGGAGTTTGCTGGGATTCAGTTGTTGGAGGAGGTGTGTGTGGGTGTGGAGGGGTTTGCGGAGAGAATGGAGGCGGCTTTCGTGGGCGCGGTTGAGAAGGAGAGGGACAGACATGGCGGGGAGGGGGTGGAGGAGATGAAAGGGCTCCTGCAGGTACGCAGGGAGGGAGGGAGGGAGGGAGGGAGGGAGAGGGGGTAGTCGACGCTTGATGGATGGATGCCTCTTCTTCCCATTTATGTGTGTGTGTTCAGGAGGAGTTTGCCATGACGTTGGAGAGCCTGAATGTCCACCTGCATCGCAAGATATTCAGCTGCGCGTCGCCGTGCTTCGTGGCGCTCTTCCACTGCTCCGACGCACTCCCGCAAGAGCACCAGGAGGCACTGGACAGACTGAGTGAGTCGCTCAGTGGGTAGTTGCGAACCGCACACGGAAGGAATGGAGTGCGCGTGTGTGGATCAGTTGAGCGGGACAGGAGTGTCACCTTTCGTCTGGAGCTGCTGGGCACCGTAGCGGACATCAGGAAGTTCGTCGACCTCAAGCCAGCGGTGAGAGCGAGACGGAATGAATGGATAGAAAGGATAGACAGCGACTGACACACAGGCGCCCACCATACATACCATCTGTCTGTCTGTATCGTTGACACAGCTGGAGCAGGATGAGTCGGTGTGGCACGGAGCGCGGCAAGAGCTCACCCTGGTCAGCACACCACACACCATCCCACGCACCCACCCGTCCGGCCATAACCGTGAGTCTTTCCCTCTGTGCAGCTGTCGTTGTGTTGGGATCCGCTGGACAAGGCTCAGAGCCTAGTGCGGTGCCTCAACCACCTCTCAGCATCGTCGGCCGCACACATGGGCGGCGAGAGCAAGATGAGCGCAGAGGTCGAGCTCGACCTGCTCATGGTGGCGCTGTGGCGGGAGCGGCCGTCGCACCTACTCATCAATCTCGCCTATACCGAACGGTCAGCCCGTCAGCCACACTTAGTTAGCACACGTGGGCACACGAATACGTCCACAGTGCCGTGCCGTGCCGTGCTGTGTGTGTGTTGGTCAGGTTCTTGCCCCAGCGTATGTTGATGGGTCGGGAAGGCTGGGCGCTCGCAACCTTCCAGACGGCCGTGGCATGGATCGAAAAGGCAAACCCGAGTCAGTGACAGAGGAGGGAGGGAGGGAGGGAGGGAGGGAGGCTGGTGGACTCACTCTTCTGTCGTGGTATGTGGTGCAGACGAGTTGCCCGCGAAGCGTTCCTGGTCGATGGCGGCCTCCCACCGCGGCTCCTCCCCCCGCGCACAGCTGCACCCATCCTTCCTCTCACAAAAGGACGTCATTCCGTGCAAAGAAGAGGAGGACACCTCGTCCAGACACCGCCATACCCCACAGAGAGAGAGCCCACACGTGCCAGAAGAGCATGACCATGATCAGGGAGAGGGCGAGAGACAGCAGCAGCAGCAGCCACCACACACACAGCAAGAGAACCAAGAGACGGAGGAGGGGAAGAGCCCGAAGGCCTTGAGGACGGGCACTGTGTATGGGCAGACGTCGTTGGGTACGGTGATGCCGTCACCGACCAGCCGTGCGGGAAGGGGTGGGTCGCTGCACTTCCCCGCCCCTGCTGCGGAGCAGCCAGCAGAAGAGACAGAAGCACCGGCAGAAGACGAGGAGAGCGCGCAACAACAGCAGCAGGAGCAGGAGCAGGAGCAGCAAGAGGGAGAAGGCCCCGTGTCGGCAGCAGAGGAGGAGACGACAGCAGAGGCAGAAGGCGAGCAACAGGGAGAGGGAGAGGGGGAGGCGCCACCACTACTTGCTGCTGCTGGCGATGCTGCTGGTGCTGCGCCAGCTGAGCTGCCTCCCGTCAAGGTCACTCCGTCGTCCCCACCTCAGTCCACGGAGCCGCAAGGGGAGGCCGCATCCATCGCAGCTGCGGACGGTATGACTGTGACGTGCGTATGTGAGATATACGCCATGTGTATGTGATGATCGTCTTCATGTGTTTTGCCTGCTGTCGGTTTGTGTGTGGGTGTGGGTATGGGATGTGTGCAGGGCACATCACCTGGACGATCACAGAGCTGCCGAAGAAGCTCAGGGATGTCCCCAGGGGGCAGTACATCGACAGTGGTACGGAACACAAAGACACACATACACACACACACACTGCATCCATCCATCCATGAGCATGAGTCTGCATTACACCACACAGGGCCGGTATCCGTTGATGTGCCCAACGACGGCTGGGTGACCTTTTCCCTGCACTTCTTCCCAAACGGCTTCGTGGCCGGCCGCCCCGGCACCTGGGGCGTGGTGCTGCGGCAGGAGACCGCCCCCACCAACAGGCGAATGTGCGTCCAGCTGGGTGTCGGTGATGACAAGTCCCACGAGATGGCCCAGGACACACGCACATGGCGGCACACCTGTGAGTGCCCGCCTGAGAAGCCGACGGCGTCGGTGACTGTGGAGGCGAGGATAGCTGCTGACGCCCATCAGCTGTCTAACCTGCACATCCCCCCCGCCCCCACCCACGCGCCGCCCCATCGACGCTCGACCGCCAGGTCGTCCCTGCCTGGGTCTGATCATCGGACGTCGTGCCGGGCACAGTGAGAGGCTTTTCGTTCTGGGTGGACATACGCTGAGAATGTATGTTTCATTGAGTATCTATCGTAGCAAGGGTCATCCATCGGTCCCCCTCTTCGCCCGTTCTTCTGCTCATGCCTTTGCTTGCCGGCCGTGTTGACTGCTCTGGTTCTGAGAAGGCTCATAGCCAGGGCAACCAACACGACCGGCATGAAAAGGCATGAGCGAAGACAGGGAAGAATAAGTCTCATTCACTCACATGGAAATGGTGGAAACGGTGCTTATGAGAGCCGGACAGACAGCAAGACTGGCGCATACAAGAATGATGCGATAAATGAATACATACACCATCCATCACACCAACCCAATCAAACACACATCACAGACTGACACGTCGTATCGAATTAGATGACAGACAGACAAAAACACTCAACCCGTCCATCCATCCACCGAGCCAGCCAGCCAGCACACTCACTGATCCCCATCAGCTGGCCCTTCCTCAGCTGTTCCCTCTTGCTGCTGCTGGCCGTCTGCCGGTCCATCACCAGCATCGTCACCGGCACCCGGTTTGGCGGGGGCCTCCGATGCGTCTGCGTTGTCATCGGCTGGGAAGGCTGGCGGTGGCTGGTGGGTGGGGGATGCATCGGGGGTGTCGGGGGGCGTGCCTGACATACCACAGAGGACAGACAGACAGACACCAACAACCCTGCGGTTCACCGACCATTGTGGGATCGCCCCGTGCATCCATCAGTACTGATAGAGATGACTTGCACGTCCGCCCCCGACGACCCGCCATCAGCAGCAGCAGCTGCTGCAGTTGATGTGTCCCTCTGCGCCGCAGGTGGGACCCGGGCAGCACCACCAACCTGCAGACACATAAGCACGCCAGATCCATTCATGTCATGCTGCATCAACGACGCGTGTTTACGCAAGAGACAGACGTACCTTCGACGGAGAGGGCGCCTCAATGGCGTCTCCAAAATCGACAGGCTGCGGCTTGAGCTCCGACAGGGGGTCCACGCCGTCGCCCTGGCCCCCAGCTCTACCACCACCCCCCTGGCCGCCCTCGCCGTTCCGCCTGTCGAGCCCCCAGAACTCATCGTCGTCATGGTAGACCTCTTGCGGCCCCGCACGCACTCCCCGCCTGCCGAATGTGATGGTGAGGTCGTCCTCGCTGGTCTCCGTCAGGGAGGGGTAGTGGGGCAGAGGGGCCTGCCGACGCCGGTTGAGCAGAGAGGATGACGACCGCAGCACACGATGCACACCCTGCTTCATCCGCTGACGGATCTCTGCACACACAGACGCAAGAATAAGAGGAGCCATCCATCCATCCATCCATTGGTAGTTCTGTGCTCCCCCCTCTCCCCTCACCCTTAAGCTTTTCTGCAGTGAAAGGCGTCTGGCCGGTGGTCTCCTCGACATCAGCCCTGTTGTTGCCGCTGCCGCCGCTGCTGGTGGGCTGCCGTTGCCTGGCCTGCTTGACGGTATCTCGCGTGCTTTGTATGATGGAGCCCAGCCAGTTGGGCAGCCGCGATTGCGATTGGGGGGGCGGGGAGGGGGAGGGGCTGGGGGAGGCGCCAGTGGCCCTGGGCGGCCGGGAGGGCCTCGATGATGTAGTCTGGCGGTCCTTGGAGGGAAACAGTCGCTCCAAGTCAGCCCCCGTGTCCCTGATGATCAAACCACACACAGACACATCAAGGAGAGGATGCCTGGGAGTCACACGATGATCATCCGTCTTCGTTCTTACCCGAATTCACTTAGTTGTTGCGCCAGCAGTCGGTCAGCCTCCTCCGCACTCTGCTGCGGCGGCTGCTGCTGCTGCCCCTGTTGCTGCGGTTGGCTCTGCGCCTCAGCTCTGAGGGCAGACCCTCCGGCAGCAGCAGCCTGCTGGCTCTCGATTTGCTCGCAGATCCACTCGATTGCGGCTTCCACGTTGCCCTTGGCCCGGAGTATGGCCACATCGATGAGCTGCGGGGCGCACTCGTTGGCGAAGACCTCCTGCAGCTGCTGCAAGGCCACACTCAGAGGCGACGGCTGAAGAGTCAAGGTGGGAATGGAATCGTCACCCATTGCTGGATGTGAACCTTCAGAAAAATTGCGCTTGGTTGCAAACTCAGCTCGCAGTGGCGAGCTTGAAGAGGAAAGTAGAAGATCTCACCATCCCCCGGGGATAGGAGGCCTTTACGGCGTTAAGACAAGAAGATTATGGCGTCTGCTTCGAGCGACAATGAGGATCATGCCTCTGGCGACATCCGAGTGCCGGATGAGGAGACTCTCGTCAAGATGCTGGAAGGGTGTATGCCGGGCGGGTACGCCTCGCCTGACAAGGTCCTGGAGCTCATCGACGGCAAGAACGACGGTAGGCGGGACAGACAGATCTGAGTTTTTTCCGGCTACCGCAGGCGCGTGTGCATGCATATCCCCGTCGTGTCTGTGTCTGTGTGTGGTGTGTGGTGGATTGGATGGACTGACAGAGGAGAGGTTTCTGGGTCTCGTGCTCACCACCACACTGCCGCCGGAGTGGATGAGAAACGAGGTGCAGACGACACGACCGACGTCCATGTGGACTGTGTTATGTTATGTGTGGTTTGGTGGTGCGGTGACCCTGTATGTCTGTCTGCAGGCTCAGCGCATCCTCCTCATGTCTGGCATCCACCGCGACTTCCTTGCGCGCCTTCTCCGGGCGGGCGGGACCTACGCCGCCATCTGCTCTGTGGTGCTCGACGGCCTCCTGACAGACAACTACGCCCGCATCAAGTTCGGTACCCTCATCCCCCAGCTCGTCGACTGCCTCCCGGCCAGCCTTGTCATGGACACACAGCCAGCGGCCAACCAGGAGGACCAGCAGAGCAGTAGTAGTGGCACATCGGAGCAGCTGATGAGGGTGCAGCGTGCCTCGGTGGAGGGCACGATATCCTTCGAGGCGGTGGTGAGCTGCCTGTGCAAGGCTTCCACACTCCCGGGCGGCCACGGGTGTGTGGACCCCGCCGTCATGTGCCCGCCCATCGTCGGCAAGGTGCAGCAGGTGGGGGTGGAGCGCATGCCCGTAGACACCATGAAGCACATCATGTCGCTGTGGGGCCACATGTTGCCCCTCCTCACTGACACAGTGGTCGATGAGTACTGCGACCTCCTGATGGACACGCTGGTGCGGCGGCAGGACGAGAGCACGCTCATGGCGGCGGGTGTCCTGGGTGGCTGGCTGGAGAAAGCCGCTGAGAAAGCACAGTGGCTGAGGAGATTCGTAGATAGACTGGAGGTGAGTCCGAGGGCGGCTTTGGTTTGTGAGAGGGAGGCGAGGCGCGCGGCGAACACAGAGGGGAGGGGTGGTGTGTGGCTGGTTTGATTGATGCCTTGTGCCGGTATAATGTATGTGTATGCGCGTGTGTGCAGGGCACGTTGAAGGCGTTGGAGGTGCTGCTTCAGAACCGTCTGCCCAACAAGGAGCGGTGCGATGTCCTCAACACCGTGGTCCAACTCATACACAATTACGGAGACAATCTCATCAGACGTAGGGGTGGCATCCACACACACACACACACACATCTACACTGCTTGTGTTGTGTGTGTGTGTCAGGTCACGGTGGGTTGCTGCGTCTGGCATTGAAGCTGGCGTCAGTCGAGCTGCACATCGAGCTGGACAACGTGCTGCTGGAGCCGCTCACACCGCAGGGCAAGAAGAGCCTCGCCGTGGCCCTGCGGCTAGTGGAGGCCATCGCACGGGGGGTCGACCGACTCTGCCAACACATGGACCGCACTGACACACAAGACAGCGACGTCAACCTGGTACAGCACCAACAACGGCCCACACACAGAAACACAGAGCACCCAGCGCTCCCCTCTCTCTCTGTGTGCGATGTGTCTTACCAGAGTGACATCTTCGACGGCTTGCGGCAGTGCCTCAAGGTGCTGTTTGAGTTCTTTGGGGAGATCCGCGAGGGCCGCCGGCCGCCGTCGGACTTCAGAGCTGAGATCGGCATGGCTGTGCGGCCAGTGGCCGTGTGGATGGCTGCAGAGCCAGAGGGCTTCCAGAAGGACGTGAGCAAGAAAGACATCACGCGCACACCGACCAACAGACGAACGATCCGGCCCTTGAGCAGACATGTGTGTGTGCGTATTTGTGCAGTTTCTGAAGGTGTTGGGGGCGTTGACAGCCGAACTCCGCTTGCAGGACTACACCTACCTCCTGCCGGCCCTCGAGACCCTCACCGTGTAAGTAGCGAGGGCTGCCACACAGATAGACAAGGAGGAGCGGGAGGCATCCATCCATTGTGTGTGTTTGAATTCCATCAGGAGCGATTGGGTTGAGACGGAGGGTGTGGTGCCGACGCTCTTCAACATACTCCTCGACCCTCAACTCGAACCTTATAGACAGGACGGTACGGTGCGAAAGGACACACAGACACTCACTCAATGACACATTATGTGGTGGGTGGGTCGCAATGCAATGCGTGAGTGTGTTCACATTGTTGTTCGCAGAGGAGAAGAGCATCCAGAGCACCGCGTGTGCGCTGCTGACGGCCGCCACACTGGACATGCTCTCAATGGAGGTCATCGAGCAAATGAAAACCCCACCCAAACTCCCAAAGCGGGTAGGGTAGGCAGCCAGCACTAACACAGACCCCCAGACACACAACACACCACGAGCCATTCTGGCCCATACATATTTCTTGGTTTCATGTATGTGTAGCGTCCCATCCCGTTGCTGCCGTGCCGTCGGCCGCCCGAGGGCTACCGCAACGGCCTGCCCGAGCTGGACATCTGCCCCTTCAACGGCCCCGGCATCATCGTCGACCACTCGCCCCCTTCCGTGTGGGTCATGCACTTCTGCCTACACCTCTTCTACAAGCACCACTTCTTCAAACACGGCCCACTACCCATTGCAACCAAGACACAGACACGCACCGCACTCCGCCGCGACAACACCACGACAGCCACCACCAACGGCAGCACGGCAGCAGACACACCGACACCGGCTGCTGCTGCCAAGGTAGCGATGCGACGGGCGTCAGTTGGTGGTGAAGGTGCGAGAGTCGCTGCTGTGGGTGTGGGTGATGGAGTGGATATGGGATGGAGTGATGACGAGTATTGGGGTCTCGAGATGCGTGTGCTGACTCTGGCGCTGCTGACGGCGCGGTTCACACAGCTGATGGTTCGGGACCACGTCACTCTTGACGAACTACTCACCATATGGGTAGGCAGGCACAGATACACACACGACCCCTGCCTGGGTTTCAGCACACAGAATGTGTGCGGTGCGGCGATTCATTCAGGAGGTATCGTGTCGCGACTGGTTGTGCCTGGCGCCCCGGACCACAGAAGACGTACGTTACGCAGCACGCACTCGAACTGTTCAAGCAAATAAAGTTCTGTCTGTCTTCCTTTATTTCTTTCAGTATGTGCCGTTCACAGTGGAGGGCCGCCGCCGGCTGGCCATATGGCTTCGCTACAGCCGGGTGATCTGTCTGGCGTTTCACCTGCACCCCTACGGCTGCTGGGTGTTCGGGCGGGCCGTCTTGGCGCACAACCAGCAGTACCTAGAGGCCAGGCGCAAGATGCAGACGGGCGCCACCCTGTCCGACACGTCGGGGATGGGTCCGTGGCGGGGGTGGATGCTACCGCCCACGCCGCCAGTCGACGAAGACACATGGCCACAGCAAGACAATGTATGTACGGAGGGAGGAGGGATGGGTGAAGGGAATGGTCACATGTAGCAAGCAAACGCAAGTGTGCAGTGCAGCCTAGGCAGGGATTGGATTGCTGTGTGTGTCGTGCAGGACGTGGTTGAGTGGATGCGGCGGTATGTGGTGGATCATCTCACTGCAAGTCAGAGACCATCGTGACACACACTCACTGGTGGAGACGTCGATAGCTAGACGGAAGATGCATAGCGGATAGATCTGCAGGGCAGCATGGGTTCCGTTGAAGTGGCGTGTTTTCGGCGGTGAATGTGAGATGCATGTGATGCCCGATTGTCATGCTGCCGCTTGGTTCTGTCCCCTGGCCGCGGTCGATCCACTCAGTAGCTCGCAGATAAGATCCGGAAAACAGGCTGTTTTCAGCGTTGAGTGGCAGCAGAACGCCACACAGGTCGAAGTGAGAGAGGCGCGAGTCGAGATCTGGCACCGCAAGCAGCCCATGCGCAGCATCACACTCCGGCATGTCTCGGAGGCAACAGCGGCACATGACCATGTGGCTGCCCTTCATGGGGCTGAGGCCGGCGGGTGAAGGCCACTGACAGCCGGAAAGGGCAGCACAAACAAGATTCATCATCGATCCGTTGTGGCGCTGATGCGTGCTGACCAGCATCTAGGAGGCCTCTCTGAGGCAGCAACGGCAAGGCACCCACACGCCGACGCGCGGCAGAACGGAGGGGAGGTGCGGCTTTCGGATTCTCTCAAGCTCAACCGACTTCGTGAGACCTCCTCCCGCACGGGCCTCATGACGCCGCACGCTTCGGCAGCCGCCCACCAGCAGTCCCTCGTGGGGGGCACATCGACCTCCCCCGCGTCCCTCATGAACCACACGAGCATCTCGCCCCACGAGCCAAGTCGACCCATCGGCACCCTGCCCAACGGACACTCATCGCTGGCGCCAGGGCAGGCCTCAACCGTGTTATCATCTGGTGGGGCTGCTGCTGACGGCGCGTCCTTGGTCGGCCCCATCCCTCCCCCCTCGGCGGCTGTGTTATCTCAGCTCCCGACCCATGTGGCCGCAGCCCTCGTGCAGCTGACGCAACAGCAACAGCAAGTGCCGGCCACATCGAGGGAGTCCGTCACTCCCTCTGCCACTCCCCTCCACCAGGCCGCCTTCAGGCCCCAACCGCATGGCCCTCAGACCACCCCCAGAGCACCATCGATTGAGGCCGAATCGTCTCCCAAGGACATCATCGGCGAGCGGTTCACCGACATCTCACCGCAGAGCACTGAAGCGATTGGCACCCCGCACAGGAGCGCCAATGACCTCACACGGCCGCAGTCGTATGGGGACGTCCTCTTCGCCAACCATCGAGGGGCGACGGTGCAGCGGCTGCACGATCACAAGACCGACATCACGCCACAGCAGCGGCAGCAGCGGCCCGTGTCCAAGACCCCCACTGCCGCCGCATCTGACGCCGCACTGTCGTCGTCGGACGACACCACTGCTGATCTGGTCAACCTTGCCGGTGCGCTCAGGCGGATGCAGCAGCAGCAGCAGCAACAGCAGCACCCGAAGCAGCCGCAGCCCGCCACTCCCAATGCGCTCTCCCTGCTGCAGAACCAGGCGGCGAGCCTGGGGCTGCTCAACCGTCTGTCGCCCTCGCCCTCTCCATCGCCGTCAGTGCAGCAGGTGTCCAATGGCGGGGTCGGCAACGCCTCTTTGCAGCAGTACCAGCTGCTGCAGCTGCAACAAGCCATCAACACCATCATGCAGCAGCAACAGCAACAACCGGGCAGTCACCAGCAGCAGCAGCAGCAGCAGCAGGCAGCCACCACAGTGACACAGACCACCGGTGGGAGCAGCAATCCTTCACCGATGGTGCGTCAAGGTGAGGGCCAGAGGGCGGCGTCAGACGATGGGTCGCCGCGGGGCAGTCGGCGTGGTGGTGAGGGTGCAGGTCGGTCCGGTGTGGTGGTTGGGATTGGGATTGGGGGTAGGGTTGAGATGCCAGAGGGCCAGGGACCCGAGCTGCCGATGTTCCGTGAGTTGGGAGAGAACGAGGAGCACATGCACTTCATGTTCAACTGCCACACCAGGAAATGGTCAGTCAGACAGACAATCAGGCAGTCAGTGAACGAAGCACAGCGAGACAGTCGCACATGTGATCGCTTGTGAGTCACTCACTCACTGCTTCTGCTTTCTTGTTTCCCTGTTTGCCTGGTTGTTTGATTGTTTGATTGTTTGTCCATTCATCAGTCCTCGGTTCGGTCAGGGTCACTGTCCCGCCCACAAGCCAATGGTGTGCTTCGACTTCCATTTTGACTCGCAGAAACGTACGCACCAAGTGCACTGAGCGTCATGTCATGCGTGGCACCCACCCACCCATGTGTGTGCGTCAGGTCGTCGTCCCATCACTGAGTCGAAGCGTCTGGCCTACTGGGACATCCAGTGCGAGTTCATCAACCACCCAAACAACTGCCCGAGGTGAGTCAGTCAGTCACGCAACCAACACATTCAACGACCGACAAACGCACTCACTCGTCTCTCACTGATTGCTGTCCTCTCTGTTTGTGTTGGTCGTCTCTAACCGTCAGAGGTCTGTCGTGTCCGTTTGCGCATTCGAAGGACGAGATCTCTTACCACCCGGCCAAGTACAAGACGCGCCTCTGCAACTCCAAGGACTGCAGGAAGCAAATCTGCTGCTTCGCACACGAGGAACACGAGCTCAGACGATTCGCACAGGTAACTTTCAGCAAACAACCACATGACATGTGCAGCTGATGACATTTCGTCCACACGTGTGTGTCCACTGGGTGGCCTTTGGTGCGTGCAGTCTCGCTACTCGCATTTGATCTTGAGCGGTGCGGCGAATCGCGCGAACGCGCGCAGCGACAGGAGTCCCCCGCCGTCCACCCGCACACAGGGGACTACGCAGGATGCCCTGGCAGTCAAGGGTGCGAGTGCAGCTGCCGACTTCTCTTTTGCTCACTTCAAGACGCAGCCGTGTCGGAACAAGGCCCACGCGCACGACAGGAAGATATGCCCGTTCTACCACAACCTGCGAGACAGACGGAGGCCGCCATTTGGACAGTACAAGGCTGAGCCGTGTGAGGACCATTTTGACCTGGAGCTACAGAGCCTCGCGTGCAAGAAGGGCGACGCGTGCGATAAGTGTCACAATCGTCTGGAGCTGCTCTACCACCCTGAGGTCTACAAACAGAGATTCTGCGCGACGTACCCCGACGTGTCGGTAAGTAAACAGACCACACAGACCACACAGACCACACTGGGCCGACCAATCCACAGGGGAGTGAAAATGTGTGTTGTGCGTGTGCAGCGCTGTCAGCGTGGGAAGTTTTGTGCGTTTGCCCACAGCCGTGAGGAGATCCGATGCCCAATATTCAGCCCCGAGGAAGAGTCCGAACGAACGGTGTGTTCTCGCCACACCCACCGCACACACCAACAAACACACCACACCCAACTCCTGTTCGCCCGTGTGCGTATGTATGGTCAGGCCGACTTTTTTATGTCCAAGTTCAAGACCAAGTGGTGTCCGTACGGCATCCAGCACGACTGGCACAGCTGCGTGTACGCACACACATACCAAGACTTCAGACGGACACCTGAGCTGGGGTAGGGTACCCACCGCACCGCACCGACCTGCACTGCACTGCACCCACACACCACCGCATGGCATGAACACCGTACCGCGTGCATTGCATCATGTCATGTCGTGTGTTTAGTTATGGCTCTGAACCGTGTCCGTACTGGGAGAAGGACAAGGACAAACACGCGCACGCCCTCGACTACGAACAGAGATGCCCTAACAAGGGGTATGTGTCTATGCCAGGCAGCGTGTCACTGACACATTAATCGATGAGCTATGCGTTTCTGTGTGCTGCAGGTTTTACTGCCAGTATGCGCACGGGAGCAAGGAGCAGCTGTACCACCCCAGCTACTACAAGGTCATGCCGTGCGCCGACTGGAAGGCCAACGGTATCGATCCGTCCAGCCAGCCATGCATCGACTGACTATCCAACTCGCCCACTTCTCCCATTGTCTTTATTCTTGTGTCAGGGTGGTGCCCGCGCGGTGATTTGTGTGCGTTCTACCACGACGCGTCTCAGAAGCGCTACCCGCCCGCCACCAACTTCGACTACACCAAACCACTCGCATCGATCGACAAACTGCAGACGCACGTGACGAAGCCCATCCTCTTCAACCTGGAGGACCCCGAAAACATCACACAGCCATCGCCCTCTATACGGTAACGAATGCATGCAGAAGTCCACACAAGACATGTCCATCCTTGTTGTGGCTGGCTGTATGCGTGAATGCAGGGGTGAGACTGGGTCGCCCATTCTGAGTTGCATCGTCCGCAGCCCAGTGCGGCGAGAGGACTCCATGATCCCCGCCCCCGCGCACACACCGCAGCATCACGGAGGCGTCCTGCCACCACCCCCCCCCCCCCCCCCCCCCCCCC